TCCTTGACTAGGAACACACACTATCAAAATCCGATCGCTGCTGGAATAAGATTAAGAGGTTCAAGTACTTTGGATATCCGATCAGATTTCTTTGATACACTACTGTGGCAATGCTATCAAGAAACTTATGTTCGGGACAAGAACGTTCTCTGAAAACACCGCACCTGACGGTGGACCAATGGCAGAGGACATTGAGCATTTGGAAGCTATGTTTGAAGCATTAGCGTTTAAGTTCGCCTTTTGTATCTCTGATTATCTATATATGCTCACGGGACTTGATTTTAACGGTCACGAGAATGTTGGCGTTTAAGATATAAACGATCAGTATATGATTGTTACTATTTTGTGTATAAGATATAAACGATCAGTCTAGGATTGTTACTATTTTAAGAGGACGGAACTATATATTATCTTCCTTGAAACAACATAATCACAAAACAAACACAGCTATTTACATTTTTCATTTACAAACATGAACTTTACTTTATGTTTAAGTATTTACTAAATTAACTTTGTAAAGTCTATCAAATTTTTACTCTACTTTTATTTGTTTCGATTAATAACAACCACTTATGCTACTCCACTAATAATCAGAAAAGATCATTGTCTTCAATATAGTTACACATCAAATTTCTGAACATAATCTCTTCACCAAGGCCACAAAATAAATCGCAACTTCTTTTATAATAACATATATGAATCCGGCCCGTAGCGTCGGTACACCACTAGTAGTAATAATAAAGTAGAGTAAACAACATAGATTGCTGAACTACTCCATTTATTTACCAATCATGTGAAACTTTTTTTCTTTTTCTTTCTTTTTTTTAGTCATGTGAAACTTTTTCTAGACCCTTAACGCCAAAAAGTGAACAAAAGCATAGTAAAGTCTACCATTAAACAATGAGAAACTTATTATACTCTGGGATAATGTCTTCTCGTTCCTCGCTTTTCCACCTTTATTTTTCTACCATTTTATTCCAATTAATATCATTAGAGCATGATTATCCACAGAAACTCATTTGTGTTTCTTAAGGATTATTTAAATATATAAAATATACTTTAGTGGACTTAAAAACTTTACTTAAGAAACTATTCGATTTTGTGCTTCCACTGGTAATTTCTTAATTAAAGATTCTCAAGGAAAAAAAATCATAACCACAACCTAACTCAAACAAGCATATTTAAACCAAACAAACAATCCTAACATTTTGACATGAATCTAACATATTTACCAAGCAAACAATCAGAGAAAAGAACACAACAACACAAGCAACCAAAACTCACCAAATGGCTCACACCAGAATCTTGCTGCAACCCAACAGCAGCAGAAACAAAATCTTTTCCATATATACTTTGCAGAGAAATGCTTAACGACATCAGCGACATCTGATAACCTTTTGGAAGCGTATAGAACACTCGCAACAGCTTCGTTAAGATCATTAGGGCATGTCCTGAAGCAAGACCACACAACAAACAATGATCAACACACTACGCATTACATTAATCGACAACCAGCAGCACATACAGCAATATCATCACGATTCATGTATGCTATTGGTCTTGCACTAGGTTTCAACTCCCTTATGAAAAATTCATTGAATGTCTGCAAGTAAAAATAAAAAAGAACTTAGTCACATGCTAATATGTCTTTCATAGGAAGCTCATACTATGAGTCTTAAGATCACTAAACACATTTGAGTGTAATGTGTTTCATACCTTGAAGTGCTGTAGAGGATACTTGACTTCAGCCATGTTTATTTGATCCTGCAACAGACAAAACCTCATTTCCAAACCAAGCAAACACATTACAGCTTAATAATAGAGAGTAGTAATTTTCCATACGTTAAAGAACTCAAGAAAGGTGGGAATTTATTTGTGCGGATTCAACTGAATTCATTTTCTTCCCCTGCTTCTCAGAAAGTCTCTGCAGTATCTCCTCTTCCCCTCAATCAAAAAGATATAGATTAAAGAATGCAGGGGACATAAAGATTTTAGGCACAAATGAAACTGTACAATATAGCTTATCACATAGGTTGCATTTGAGAAGTAAGAAATGCTAGTTAGTTTAACTTGATCAATAAGTCTAAGCCCAATTCTGGACTGGTAAATAGCTCTCATGGACAGAACAATCTTTGAGTCTATCAACTCTTCCTGTCATCACCTAATGCAAGAAACAACAAAATACTTTGGCATTTGAGCAAGAGATCATGAGAAGAACAAAAGAGAGGAGAAAGAAAAGCAAACAATATGAGAAGCACTTGAACCAGTCAAAAACCCACCAGTCATCACTTGATTACCGGTTGCTTCGTCAAAACATAGAGTCATATGTATCATGGCGTCCCTTCTTCATGGAGATAAGAGAAAACGAGATAAAAATCAAGCATGGATGTCTCTGAGTAGCCAATTGAATGGGAGATTTAGTGTTTTTGTTGTTCAAAATCAGATGAAAAAGGATCTGGCTCAGCCACGACGGAGATGACGACCGGAGTTGCAGAGGGCGAGTCTGGTGCTTCTGGCCTAGACGAACTCAATCACCACCACGAGCCAAGTCTGAGTCGACAAGGACGAAGAAGACTCAAGGCGGAGGTGAGACGCAACGGTGCTGACACCTGGTTGAAAAACACGCTTATAACCGGTTACCAAAGTACCCCACTAGACCATCCATATCAATGAACCCATCTTGGGATTCATTGAATTAATTTTTCGTTATTAAATTTTTTCTGTTTTCTTTTTTAATTTCTTTTTATAGAGAAAAAAGAAACGTATCGCGGACCACCACATGTCGTGGAGGTGGAGCCTGCGCTACAGTGATAAACCGGGTTCACCACAAAGAACCTACAAGAGACAGATTCATCACTATTTTTTATTTTAATATTTTTTTTTGAAAAACGTGTAAACCCCCATCTGAACCTTTGATGGAGGTACTCTTAAGGATCGATAACAACCTTTTTTTTATTTAATTAAGTCACCAATTTTACCTAAAGATCTCCAATAATTAATTTCATTTTTTCTTCAAAAATTCACTTTATTTAAAATAAATCAAGAAATGAAGCACATCTTCCCTAATAGTTTACTTTATTTATTTTTTTCTAAAAAATATTCTAAATATATTATATTCCTACTTTATTAATTAATTATTACTAACACCTTATACTTTTTCATATTTACAAATCTATATTATAATAGTTCACTTCTAAGGCTTTTAAAGCTGTTCACGTCAGCAAATTTGTGGGTCCTGTGCATTTAAATTTTAAAAGCTTAGAGTTTGTTTAAAATGAGTATGAACAATGAATATATTTTAGCCGAGTGGTATAACGCATCTAATGAAGTCCACAAGTATGTGGGTTCAAACCGCGTAGCTGTTATGTATTTTAGTTTTTTTTTGTTTGAATTATTATCATATGGTTTTTTAGTTTTTATGTTTTTGTTTTTTTTTCCGTGGACTTCATTGTTTAAAACGAAAAACAGTGGGAAAAAATCCTAAAGTTTGACGAACTCATACCCAAACACAATTAAAAAGGATCAAAACGAACAGTCCAAAAAAAACAAAAAAAACAAAATGAATCCCACGTGGCACTATCATATCTTAATATATATTTTCTGTTAGAACATCTTTTCTAATATATATTTTCAAAAAATTATGTATGTGAAATAAAATAAAACAACAAAATTCAAGTATTTTTTTATTTATAAAATAACTATGTAATTTCTCTTCAATTTTTAATAGTTACTAGAATTTCATTTTTATTAGACTCCGACAAATGGATTTCCACAGTCGATGACGCCGTAAATAAAAATGTCACATTATTCATGAACAAAGTCCAAACTTACAAAAAAACATATCCAAACCTATCTATTGAAACCCAAACAACAAATATTAGCTTAAACTAAAGTTATTATCAAATTGATAAATCGTTTAGTACAAATATAAATACTTTAAATAAATAATTATATCAAGTTTTGATCTCCGATATAAAAACTATTTCCAACATAAAAAAATAAAAAACAAGATAGACACCTATTATTATACACTAGAAACTATATTATAATTTCGTTATTCCTATAAACCTTACTTCACATATAAATAACATTTAACACATTATGTATATAATATTTTCACTTTACACTCTTGCTATATTCTTTCTATTTCATCATTATTTGGTATTATTAAAATAACCCACTAAACCAACAACCGGAAAAAACACAGGCAAACATCAATGATCTCCAGCCCCACGCTTGCGCGGAGGGGTATGCAACTAGTTTTACTCAACTATTTTGTTATAACAATAATCGAACACAATTGTTATAGATTCCACATTATCATATAATAAAATTATTACACGTAACAGAAATATAAAAAACAATACTAGATTTTATAAAAACGCATCCAAATGTAGTGAATTTGAGAAATTATAATCGTATTAAGAGAGAAAATTTAGAGTGCGTAAAGAAATTGAGTAAAGTATTTCACTTTTATATTAGTTATATAATGTTATCTTTCATAAAATTATTATAATAAAAAATATTCATAATTAATTAGGTTATATTAATTAATATAGTTTATTTTATGAACGAGTAAGAACAAGTAAAACTTAAAGACCAATTTATAATTAGAAAATTCAACTTAAAAAAAATGAAGCAATGAACAATATTGATTCAAATTTGAATTAATATTGTTTATTGCTTCATTTTGAAGCAAGAAATGAAGCACCATTAGAATAAAAGTTGCTTTAAAATAAAGCAAAATGTAGAAAATGAAACACTACTGGAAATAATCTTAAAGGTATGATGAGTTAATTTTAAAATAACTGAGAGTAATTTAACTAGAATATATAAGAGGAAAAGTGATGGAGTAGTAGAAACAAGAAATAGTGAAAATCTAAGAGAATTTTTTACACCTCACAACCTGTTAGAGAATAATTATGTATACCTCTTTCTAAACGGTATTAGGTGTAAAAGAAATAAAAGGTACTTTCACTTGATTGCCAAAAATACAAGCTGAAATAAAATACAAAAATATTATTGTCAAAACCTTCTCACTAAATGTGTTTTCTAGTCATCCCTTAGAATATTATTATGGTGATTGAAATGGTATGAGTTCTTATAAAATTATAAAATAAAATATTAGTATGGTATAAGTAAAATATTAGTATTTTATAATTTTATAAAGACTCATACAATTTTAATCACCATAATAATACTCTGTTTTAGTATTTTTATTTATATCATTCTAATTATTTATTTAAAGCTATTGAATTACTAATTAAATAGTAATCTTTGCTTGAGTTTCTCAAAAATATACATCTTCTATTTATATAAAGTAGGGTTATCCTTCAAAATTTATGGTGCCACGTCATTAATTCAAGTTATCTAAGAGTGACACTTGTCCCTTTTTAATATGAGTAACATTGCTGCGTTTTGTTTAACGAGTTTCGTTTGTGGTTAGTTTTCAACTTTTAACTAGGTTTCGTCAATTTGTTTATGGGTCATTTTTGTATGGGTCTGAATACATATTAATCTCAATCCAATTTAAACGATGTCAAGTTGGACCCCTCTCAGGTATTCTTCTTCGCCACACAAACTTCTTTAGCCCTAAGAGTTTGATCTCTTCATCTTCCCAGAGACCAAAAAATCTCTAAACCTTAAGGTGTCGGTCTGAATCGATTCTTCGTCTTCAACGGACTCATAAACGATTGTTTTTCACACCTTATTTAGTGCATCCCTTTTAATTCTTTTCTCAGAATCTTCCACTAAAAAGTGTAAGTCTTATCCCATGAATTTCATCAGTCATATTCTCTCAATCATAAGTTTTCTAAAAATCCCTTTAATTAATAAAACTGGAAAACTGAGTTGTTCTCTTCACTGATTTAAAGGCTGGCCAATGTACCTCCACCGTCGAGGTTTGCCTTCTAGGTAAGCTAGAAACATGAATCTTGGTAGCGAGCTTATGGTTGTGGACATGCTCCTCCGCAAAGCGTAGGTAATTCCAACGTTATAACTCATAATGATCATACTTTTTTATAAGAAAATTAGTTTGTGGGAGATGGTTTTGATTTTGTTCTTGACTTTGTTAAATTGTTCTTACACTGTGTTTATCAGAAATTTTATTCAAACACATTAGTTTATAGGAGATGATTAGATTTCGATTTTGTTTGTTGCTTTTGTTTTGATTATTTGTTGATTTTTGTTTACAATTGTTCATGATTGATTATCTAAATTTTTATTTAAAAACTTTCGTTTATGGGAGATGATTCAGATTTCAATTTTTGTTTGATTGTTAGTTTTTCTATAGGAAAGTCAATTTATAGGGTGTTTCCAAGTAGCACTTTGACTTTTGTAGCTCCTTCCAAACTCCAATGGCTTAACGGCTATCATTCGAATTCAATCAATCCTATTAAATATTGTTGAACTATTCCTCCCACTACGTCGTATTTAAATTATTGACTCTTTCTTCTATGTTAACAAGTCTAGATCTATAAATAAAATATTGAATTCTGTGAAATTCATCACTTTAAATTTTCAAAAAAAAAGAAATTCATCAATTTTCCCCTTTAATCATATTAGAATTTTTGCAAATAACCATACCATGAATGACAACCTCCTTCCTTCTGCTCGCCGCAACGACTTGAAAGAAGGGAGTTTTGTGCAACTTGAATCTATGTGGATGTGTCAAGCTCTGTTCTTTACTTTGTGTTTTAGGGTATCTTCATCCCAACTCCATTTTCTACTTCAAAATGAACTAAAAGTGATTATAGAGTGAATAATGCTCCAACCTTACTCCATTTCTAACTCTATAATGAGATTTACTCCATAAATGGAGTAGTCTATTTTTTGTTTGTTCATTACTCTATTATGGAGTTAGAAATGAAGTGGAGTTGGATCATTTTTACTACATAATGACTTTTATTCCATTTTAGAGGAATATATGGAGTTTTACATTGGAGATGCACTTAATGACTGTAGTAGCTCTTTGTCTATCCTTGAGATCTTGATGATTAGTAAACAGAATCGTCTCCGAGTTTGAGGTCGGTAATGTCACCGTGGGATACGGCTTATGGTGACTTTTCATCTGTTCTTCAGTTTATTAATCATCATCACCGACCAAGGAAAATATGGAGTTTTACATTGGAGATGCTCTTAGTGACTGTAATAATGCTCTGTTTATCCTTGAGATCTTGATGATTAGTAAACATAATCATCTCCGAATTTGAGGTCGGTAATGTCACCGTGGGATACAGCTTATGGTGACTTTTCATCTGTTCTTCAGTTTATTAATCATCACCACCAACCAAGGAAAGAGAAGTTTGACCAGGTGAGACGAATGT